TTCAATCAGTGCTAACGGTGTAGTTTTGTACTTCATATATCCAACAACTAGAGTTTGAGTAGTTTCCCTCCTAGACATCCCAGAGGGGAGAAACAAGAGCTTAGTTCTCCGAGAAGCAACAACAGTACGGAGAGTTCGAAGGGGATATGGTAGCTTAAAGTGATGATGAGAGCAACTAGTAGTAGTATTACATAGTTTGGACCTTATTTTTCAGCAGTTTCTGCAACCCTTTTTATTTCCTCCAGCAGATTATAATCTACAAAGCAATTATGGGTTTAGAAAAGATGAACAGACTCATAAAGAAATAACAAAAGAAAAAGAAGGTGAAACCTGAGAGGAGAAGATTATCGTCAAATTGAGAGAGATGAACAAAGGAAGTGATGTTCCTTTTTCCATTGCAGCCGGTGCGTTGCTTGTCAGCTTTAACGCAAGGGAGACTGCATGTGCGGAGGCAGCAACCCGGGCACTTGTATTTTGACGCCTTCTCTTTGCATTCTTCACAATCACCTTTTCTTGAATCCTCCATTTTCTTTCTTTCTGTACTTTACGAATAAGGAACAGAGCAAAAGGGATTTTACGCCTGCATATAAACTACAGAAATGGTTACTGAAATATGAGCAAGTTTCTGCCTTCAACATTGAAGTTTCAAAAGTAATGAAACGATTACTAAAATTATCGATTTGTAACAAAATAATTTCTCAACTGTTAACAGGTGTTACCAGAGTCACATAAATCTGATGTGAATCATTTGAAAGGTTAAGTTGGTATTGTTTGATCACATTGACACCCTTTAATTAGTCACTTTGACTTCCACTTAAAAAATCATAAACCTCCGTATCGATCTTTATTGACATGTCGTCGATGCTGACATCATTTATGACATTCACATAGGTAAATAAATGCAATCTTGTGAAATTTGGAATAATAAAAATGTTCTCATTTTTCAAACACCAACTAGGTTGTTCATACATATTGTTGAAAGCTTGGGTTTGTTTGGATGGGAATTGAGACAAGTGAAGAAACTGTTGCAGAAATACAAAAATTATAATGGTAGGGGAGTTGAGACTTGAGAGAAGGCATTGATTGTTGTACAGTTGTAAAGTGTAAACTACTACAACCTTGTCCAAGTTGGTCTGATTTTAGACTAGGGTCTTTCTCTTTTTCCTAGCTGTTCCAACAAATTCCTTGAGCCCTCCAAAATTTCTTATAGATCTGACCAAAGCAATTCACTCAATACCACTTTCTTAAAACAACAAGAGATCTGTTTGAAATCGCCAGTGCTCATCAACCATGAAGAGATCACTTGGCAGCTTAGATTCTTTTGGTGCTTTGATGTCCATCTGTCCAACTACAGTTCCAACAAAACAATTCCAATTTTGTACTTTCATTTAATTTTCTTGAATTCATTATTTATACGTGAAAACAAGTTGTAATTAAATTTATTTGTTTCATTTTGGTCTGCAGATAAACATAGTCTGAGAAACGATCATATATACAGCAGGGACTGAGTTCCAGTCGATATTAGACGGATATGATGAAAAAGGGTGCTTGGAAGAATCGAGACATGTTTCTGAGAAGAAGCAGAGATTAAGTCCTTGGAGAAGAATTTCAAGTTCAAAAACAAGCTCCAACCTGAGAGAAAAGTGAAACTAGCTCAAGAACCTCGGCTTGAAACCGAGACAATTTCATATCATCATCTGCAGCCACCTGGAGAAGAGGTGCCACAACTTTACTAATCCAAAAAAAAGAAGAAACCGAGACAAGTTACCGTTTGGTTTCAAACTCGCCGTGCTAGATGGAAGACGAAGCAATTGGAAAGGGACTATGGCCTTCTCAAAACCAGTTATGACACTCTCCACCATGATAATGCAGCTCTTCTCAATGAGGTAATAATAATAAATTATATTTAACTTTTATATTATATTTGAACATATAGGAGATTAGAATTGTGATATTATGCAGATAAGAGAGTTGCAGGCGAAGCAGAGTGGGGAAAGCACCGAGAGCAATATTTCAGTGAAAGAGGAGGTGATTGTGCGTAAAACTACTTGGAACAAAGTGAACCTATTTGACAACTTCATCAGAGCCTGCAGATCTCAACTATGAGAGCTTCAACAACAGCACCAAGAGATGGACCGAAGTGGAAGATTATAAATTATCATATATTTTAGATTTTTTTAGTTTGTTTTTTCTATTGTTAACCTGTTTGCATCCCCTCAAATTTTATAAGTTCATCTCTTTTAAAATTTTAGAAGTTCGCCTCCCCTGATATAAAATCTTACGTCTCTAAACAACACTAAATCAATTGACGCCACCCTTTTCCTGAACTCAGAAGACGGTTCATTGGATAGTAACTCGAGTGTTATCTTGAATGAAGACATCATCATCAATAACAGTTGCCCCAACAAAGCGGCTATTTTTCACTATTTATATCATTGTCTCCTAAAATTTTATAAGTTTGTCTCTTCCTAAGATTTTAAAAATTCGCCTTTCCAATAATAAATTTTAGGTCTGTTACTGAACATCGCTAAATCAATTAGTGCCACCCTTTTCCCGAACTCGAAAGATAGGGTCATCGATAGTGACTCGAATGCTATCTTGAATACAATGCCACTATTTCTTCGCTGTTTATATCATCAACAACATCTTCTTCACCTTTATCCATGGATTGCTCCAATCTCTCCAAAACAACTTATCAACCACACCAGTATGTGAAGATGGAAGAACACAATTGTCAAATAATATTATTCGAAAGACTTTAATTTCACTCAATTTCATAGTATTAACTTTTCGGGGGGGGGGGGGATGAATTTTTTGAAGGATAAAATCAATTTTAGATTTAGTTTAAAAAAGTTTCAACTCAATCCAGTCTAAGATAATAATTAGTAAACAAAAAATATTAATTAAATTATTAAACTTTTAATTTTAATCAAAGAATCAACAATTAATATAACTACTATGCGATAAATAAATTTATATAATAACATTATTTATTCCTATTAGTTAGATATTTATCAATTTGTATAATAACACATTTAGAAGAGCAGATAGTAATGCTTGAAAAGGAAGAGGGTGATTTGCATGGAGATGAGATGAAAGAGGACAAAGTATAAAAACCCAAATCACTCAACATAAGGATTTGAACAATGAACTTATCATTAACATTAGCATCATTCAAAATAACACAAATACCTTCCTTTGTAATACCCATACAAATAGCAAAGCAACCCAAAACATATATGCATCATCAAAATTCAAACCTATGTATACTCATCTTTACAACACATAAAATGTATACATTCCAGGTCAGAGGTTACCATCGTTTATGAGTTCATTCAAGAGGGTGGTTAACAAGGAATCCCTTCTCTCAGCTCGGCTCTCTTCCCATCTCCTCTCTCCTCCTCCCTCTCCTTCCAAGCCTTTTCCACCATCAACCTCTCCCTCTCGAGCTTCTCCATCGATTGCTGCCATTCTTGCTCGAACAACTGCCTCTCACGGGCACGCCTCTCCATCATCTCCCCCCACTGCATCTCCATCCTCAGCTGCTGATTGAAAAATTCCCTAACCACTTCCTGGACACCAGAACTTGGTCTAGGAGATTTATCCGATACAATTGTGTCAGCTTTTTCCTCTTGCGTGAAATACCTCTAGTAGGCTTTCTTCTTCACTTTCATCTTCATCCTCGCCTTGTTCAGAGAATTCGTCCGAGGATCTATCAGCGGTTGTTCTTTTCATCCTTTCTTTGTCCAGGTAGAATCCGAACCTGCCTCCGACTCAAGTAGGCGGCGCTGCATATTCTTGGCTCTTTCAGTGAATAATGCATGTAGTTCCTCAAAGAATGGGAATTGGCAACCATTCTCAGGATCAGCTGTCTCCTTCCCCTGCACAAATATGACAAAGAAACATTTACACAAACATAAAGATTGTCGTGTGAACAAAACCAAAAATAAAAGATTTTGCATAAAGCATCCGTTTCGAAAGAAATTTGGAAAGATTGCAAAGCACAAATATATATATATATATGGTTAAGACAGGTTGTGAGGAATCACAGGACAAAAAAATGATAATTCAGGATTTCTATCCTTGAATTATACAACAAAAATTGCAGTTTGAGAGTAATTAAAGAGGGAGAATGAGGAAGAAAGGACCTTGTAACGATTGAGAAGATTTTTCCACTTAGACTTGCACTGATCAGGGGTTCGGGTGAAGCCTCCATCCTTCATCTTAGCACTGACGACCTCCCAGAGGGTCTTGTTGTGCTTGGTGGCGGTAAAGTCCCTTTCAAGCTCACCTCGTATGAAGATCAGTTCCCGAGTCTCCTCCTGCCCCCACTGCCCACCCCCTAACATCGCTGCTGTTTATTCCAACTCCACCAATCCCTCTTCCCTTTAAATTAGGGTTTTATTTTGCAAACTTATGACTATATTTTCTCCTTTCTTTCGATAGCAAAATAAAGGGCTGATCTTGCCACTATTTCACGTAAGCATCTTTTAACTTTGTTGTCTTTTAAATTAATCCGAGTTTTCCAAGCTTGGTTGTCTTTGCCATCAAGGTGGAAGCATGGAGGTCCCCTTGGTCCTTCCTCCATTGCCGGGCGTTTAGAAATTAGAAACTTAAACTGTATTTGGTAGGCAAAACTGCTGCATACGTGCCGGAGTTCTTCACTAGGCTGTGATAGCTAGCCAGCCCATTCATTTATAGATCCAATTTGACGAACACATTAGGCTTTGTTAGCTAGCCAGCCCGTTCATCTATAGATCACTTTAAAGTTTGAGATCAATTAAATTGGATGGTCGAATTCTCATCAAATTAGCAAATAGGTGTAATTTGCCGTCCCAGCAGACCACTAGAAGTTTCTTTCTGTATACAATAATTTGTTAAGTAGTGAAACTACCTCCAATGCAAATTAGTGTTACCAAAATATACACGTTTGTTTAGAACTAGCAAGTACAATTTTCATGAAAGCACCTAGTGCACTCAAATACACACCTGAAGAAGACTGAATGAACCAAATGTCTGTGCCTCCATTTCATTCCACAATATTCGAATCGTTTCTAAATCACATTAATCTATTTCACTTTATGCATGCAGCAACCAATATGTTCTTATTTGTGTTTTGCAATTCAATACATAAATCTACTTGACAAACACAAATTGAAAATCAAGGGACAAGCAAGCCCCATTAAAACATAAACCTCTTGCACCTAGTATATTTCATCATCTGGAATATCAGGGGTCAAGAATTTCTTTGGATCTTTACTGATTTCCTCATAGTTTAATCTTGGCTTCACTCTTTCCGGCACTGGTTCCAATGGAATAATCATATCTCTATCAATGACTCCATCTATTATTCCATATTCAACTGCTTCCATTGGAGACATATACCGATCCCTATCAATATCCTTCACTACTTGTTCAAATGAACGTCCAGTAAAACCGGAAATTATTCTGGACACATTGTTCTTGTTATGCATAATTTCCCGTGCTTGGATTTCTACATCTATAGCTTGTCCACTAGCACCTCCTAGAGGTTGATGAATCATTATCCGAGTGTTTGGCATTGCAAGGCGCTTGCCTTTGGTGCCACCACCAAGGATAATGGAAGCTGTTGATGCTGCGATGCCAATTGCAATCGTGGAAACATCAGCCCGCACAAGCTGCACTACATCGTATATAGCCATTGTAGCACTGGTACAAATAGCAAAAACAGAAAATAAGCAAAAGGAAAGGTGATACAATCAGAAATCAAATAGAAGGCAACAAACTGTTAAAATTGAAGCATAGCAGGAAAGTTTCAAGTCTTTTGTACCAACAGGAAGGAGAATACAAAAATGTTTTAAAAAATAGAAAGGGAAAGAAAAGGTAAATCACCCTTATTTTGATTGCACAAAGACAAAATAATAAATAAAAAAGGTTGTTCAAGCAGTCTTAGAAGGGAAGGAAATGGAAATTTATCAAGTTCATTAGCAAATTAGAGTCTTCGTATATCTTGCAAAGTGAATTGTAATAATGTAAGTACATTAAAAGAAATTACATGGAACAGTCCTATGAAGATCTTCGAATTTCTTCTCCGTCAAGTAAAATGTTTCCCTTACAAAAGAAGGTACCCTTTGTCTCAAGCCTCAATTCAAATATAGTATATAAGAATACATACATGATTTCTAGCCTAGATTGATGACCTAAACTGCATTTAAAGTGCAAATGCTCTATACTTTCAAGAATATGCAATTATGCACACTTCCAACAGACCCTACAACAACAACCTATGAATACCTGAAGATTGCATAAACCAAGGGGGTTGTCTTCCCAAGGAAAGGGTAGGTTAGAAGAAGACAAGGAAATGATTCAGCTGTCTTCTTAGAAAGCATCTATTGGGGGTAAAATTTGCCCCTTTTTTAAGGAATGGGAGGAATAAAGGGTACTAAGAAACTTGATCTTGGTCATTAGAAGAGACAAAGAATAAACACACACCCAAATGAACAATAAGATTGTGAACCATCACACATGACAATTGAACGATACAGAAGGATTCTTTATGCTCGGATGAAGCAATACAATTTCCATCCCCAAGTTGAATCTACAATTTAAGAGTTGCAATTTGGCTTGCTGGACTTTTATATCATAGGCTCAGCCATGATTTGATATATATTTTAGGCTACTTAAATTATTTTTTACTTTTTAGTAATTAGACTTGCCAGCTTACTGAGAACTAAGGTAAGGAATCTATGCCCTTCAATTAAAGGGGGTTTACAAACAAGATAGATCTTCAAATCATTACTATCATGCTCCTTCAATAAAAAATATAAGGAAGAAAATGACAATCCATATCCAAGGAGAATACAACCACCATCAGATAAAATTGTCATATCGTTTCCAAAATCCTAACAAATGATGTGATACTAGCTGAAGCAAATAAAAAGGTCATTATTCAGCTTTATAAGGGCATATTAAGGTCATAAATTGTCAGCTCAATAATTTACCATTGAACAATACCACATTATTCAAAGAAAAAAAGGTCACATTAGTGATTCCCCTCACGGCCTCACCCCCTTTTTTATTAAAGAAAATACCCATTGATGAAGCCATCTGATATGAATTTCCCAGATATCTATAAAAAAAGATCTTCCTTTCCCATTCAGAAAAAGGAATAGAACAAAAGTTTTAGCAACAACGCGTTTTTCTCATTATCTCAGATTCTCAAAAGAGAACAACTGAAAAACTGAATAATAGGATCTAAGCCTAAGGTTAAAGGGCAGAACTTGAAAAGGGATCATACCTCAAAGAACCACCAGGGGAATTAATGAATAGTCTGATATCTTTAGTAGGGTCCTGAGCGTCCAAAAGCAGCAACTGACTTATAATAGCATCGGCCAAAAAATCATCAATTTGGTTGCCAAGGAAAACAATTCGCTCCCTCAGCAGCAACCCCATAGCATCGGTTTCAGCCCCTCGCATGGCGGTGGCGGGGGTCTGAGGGGCTGATAATTTGAGGCTGTTAGCGGTGGCTTTCAGTTTGAGAGAAGAAGAAACGGGTGTGGGCGAGAGGCTCAAAAAGGGAGGGGTTTTGTTAGGGAAAGGAAGAGAGGGTTTACATTTGAGTTGAAGGGAGGAGAAAGCAGGGTTTAGAGCAGATGAGAGTGAGATTAAATCCATGGCGATTGTGGTGTTTGATGCGTGAGCGTCGAGAGACTCAGATAAGCAACTCCCACTCAAGCCGCCTCCCCTTTCGCCCTTTGATTTTGATATGATTTAAAGCAAATAACATACCAAATTATCTACCCACATTGGATGAGAATAACGAGGCTTAATTCACAATCAGGCCCTCCAAGTATAAACATTTTTTTTACTTTACACCCTAAACTTCTTTTTCTTATATTCTGACTCTCTAAATATACTCATCTTCGTTCTTTATACCTCAAAGTATGACCCCATTATACATTCTAGCCCCTAAACGTTACAAAGATTAAAAAATCCGGACCAATTAACTTGCGCCATTGGGCATCCTCCTCTTCCTTTTATGGTGATCGAGTCTGATTGATAAATTTTAAGATATTGATGGGTGCGAGGATAATTATGACAAATTCAGAAAGTTGAAAGATTTTTAATGACATGAATAAAGTATAATTAAGGTTTTAGTAGAGTTTGAGGGCATATATTTGATTGGTTGATCAAGTTGCATATCTTTGTTCCCTCGTGTTTTCTTATGACATTGGTTATAGATCTATTAGAAATACCCATCTTCCTTCCTTTAGAATTCTCTTTTTCCTCCTCTCTAAATAAGATTAGAAGAGAGATAAAAAAGGTTTCAATAAGCTTTGATGGCCAGATGTGAAAATGGAAATATGAGTATTTTAAACTTGAATATCGATTTCATAATTTTAAAAAATTTATTATAAATTCGGGTTATTGAAGTGACAACTAAAATCTTAATGTAAAAATTGGGGTAATAAGATATTAGAACACTATAGCCACAACTTTTTCATGATGCCTAAATCTGAATTTTATTTTTTGTATCTTGTCATTTATCACATTACAATGTATGAAACGTTAAGAGTCAAAATATAACAATACACATTAATAGTTAAACCAGGATAAAAAAATCAGGATGCAAAATATAAAAATGAGTGAACTTAGAGGGTTAATTTGTAAATTAAACCAAGATAATAATAGTAATAATTAGGCTTAATTTAAAAAGGTGCCTATGTTATAACTTTTTTTCATTTAAGTTCCACGTAACACGCAAGATGCGGCTTTTTTTTTTTTTTTCACATAACATTTTCGTTAAAGGGTGATCGTAAATTGTTGAAAGATAAAATTCAACAGACGGATAACGTAAGGAATCAAAATCATTCTGTTTAAATTAGTGATTAAAATCGGTTAGACTAAAACATATGGAACCATTTATATAATTTATCTATGTAAAAATTACATATTCAATATAATATAAATAATATAAATAGTATATATATATATATATATATATATATATATATATACACACACACACAACGTAAATAAAATTAAAAGAGATAAGAATTATAGGAAACATTAATACTAATTCATACTAAATTGAGATTAAAATAAAATGAATGTACATAATTCGGAGTAGCAACTCATCTAAATATCGGAATAAAGCGTGAATTTAAAATAATAATAAAATAGAAAAACTTGTAAAAAAATTATCTCAAGAGAACTTTGAAAAAAGTACTTAATTGAACAAAAAAAAAAGAACTTCAAATACCAAATTAACCTTGAATCCAATTTGAAGTACATAATTGGAGGAAAAAACTAAAGTAGCAAACTGAATCATGATATCAAATTGAAGTACTAAAATGTACATTAACTTTTTTTTTTAAAGGAAAACATGCATCTAAGATTAACCATAAATAGCATAAAAGCAAGGCTGATGAAGGCCTAAAGCAAACTGGGCAAGGGTGTGAGCCACCACATTGATCGAGCGGCGGATAGTGTGTACACCAACATGAGGATGATCCTGGAGCAAAGCACGAGCTTCAGCAAGATGAAATCCAAGAGAGGACAGGTCAGCCTGGGTAGAAAGCAACTGATGAACTACATTGGCCGCATCACTTTCCAGGCGAACATGTTGATAATCCAATTCAAGAGCCAGTCGGAGGCCATTAGTGATTGCCGCTGCCTCGATCGGGACTGCTTGAGCTGCAACAACCAGTCCACTATAATCCCGAGCAACGATACCAAGAGCTGGAGAACCAGAGGATGAGCGTGCACCGTCAGCATTTATGTATACTGAAATTTGTTAAAAGAAAAAGGATTCTGATATTGTGGGCTAGCCTGGACCGTCAGCCCATTATCAAGATAACCAAAAGTAGCATATGGCATTAGATATCGTGGCATCCATTTTGCGATACCTCTCCTCTCCCGTTTCCTTCCTGATTTAGGGTTTTCTTTCGCTACGTATTTTCCTTCCCGATTTCATAAACATCGGTATTCCCACTCCTAGTCGATCTATGATTTGTGCATTTCCTCTGATTTTACTGTAAATATTCAATCAATTTCATCAATTATGTTTGTAGTGTCTTCTCCGTTTATGACTTGCACCAAAAACCTCCGTGTCTTTGGTCCTGGTTTGAATCCCTTTGCTCCTTATTGCATCGCTCATCATTCCCCTGCTTATCGCTAATTCCTTTCTCCCCCCTCTTTTCCGTCTCTATCATGTGATTCCTCCTCCCACTGCCTCCCTCTCGTTATTGTCAACTTTCGGGGAATTTGTTTTTTTTCAAGAAAAAAAGATCTTACCCTTTGTGAAATTTCATCTTTTTACTACAATATCATGTAATTCTTCGCCTAAACAATCAATCAATCTGATCTGAGGCCCTCTTCTTTATTTTCTGGGTTAAGGAAATAAAAATTATATATATCTGCAACGATATTGGTTGGTTTTTTGTTATTGAGTCGAAGAATATGACCCAAGTGCAGTCTTTGAGGAGAAGTTTGTCAAGAAGGCGCTCGTTTAGGTGTGGGATTGATAGGGATGATAGAGGTTGGACGTTGCTTCACATCGGAGCCCGAAAAGGTGACCTCGATAAGGTATCTTTCTTTGTTTGAACCTTATTCTTCTTCTTGATCCATAAGTTATTTAACAGTTATAGTATTTAATGCCAACATCAGAAGGCAAGGATAATGCCGGAATTCTACCTGCCTTTAGTGGTAATACTTGAAATCACTTATCAAATTTAACAGAAAAGAAAATTCTTTTAGGACTATGACCTCTATTTTATACCAATAGTAAGTGGACATTTGTTCTTTGATTTATTGCTCTTCCATTCTTGCTTTTATCTGAGATTTCCCTTTTACCTGGATTTTATATGTTGAGGAATGGCTGTCAATGAGCTCTTCTGTGATTTATTTGTTTTGTATTCCCGTGGGGGTCTCACTTTATCAGTCATTCAGTTGTCCTTGCCACTAACTGATTTACTTGATTTTCACTAGATATTTTTTAGATACATCCCCTAATGGAGCTGAACATGTTAATCTTTCATCATCTGGCTCAAACAAAAGACTGTTGAACCCAATTGTTACAAACTGATTAAGATTCATATGAAGGATAGAAAGGAGTCGGAACAAAAAAAAAATTAATCAAGTGATTAAGATTCATTATCACTTTCTTATGTTGAAGCTTAGCTATTAGATGTACAAATTTTCATTCCTCCATACCAAATGGAACATATATGTTATCAACACATGTATGAATGATTCAATATGTAAGACTCAATTTCTTTTGAGCTCTTTGTCACTGGCATTTATTGTATATTATTATTTGTGTTTCTTGCCAAACATTTCGCTGAAATAATTCTCCTTTCCCATGGAAATTGAATTCTAATTTAAGGTTCTTTGGAACAGGTCAAACAACTTATCAATGAAGGGATGGATGTAAACGTGGCTGCATGGGGCCCCAAATCCCAAGGTATCACCCCACTCCATCTTGCCGCTGAGGGTGGCCATGTTGAAGTTCTGGATGAGTTGCTTGAACGTGGTGCTAATATTGATGCAAGAACTATGGGTGCCTGTGGTTGTAATTTCCTAATCTCATGTTTTCCTATTTTGTCTCTTTAGTGACTATATACCATAGTTAAAAATTGTGTTGTTGATAACTTATGACCTGGTAAGTACATTAAATAAAAAACTACAAGTTAATTTGGGCCCTGTTAACCATCTAATTTCCGCATTTAAACTTTGCTAATTTGATTATATTTCACAACTTAAAGCAGCTGCATTTCTTCTTCGAAGACTCCTCTATTTAAGCTTCCATGCTCATCAAACAAACACTATGAGACAATCAAACATTTGTAGTAATTAGTAACTACCCAACCCCCCCCCCCCACCAAAAAAAACACACCAATACACACAAACAAAAAGTCAATACTGTTGTCAGTGTTTTAAGAAAAAAACTTGGACACCACTAGGCCCAAATAAACTCTTAATTTGTTATAAATTGTGATCCATTTCCTGCTAAAAATGCTTTAAAGAATCCCAATCATCTAACTGCACGTTAGATTTTTTTCTTTTCATATTTTTGTGCAAAGTTAACAGCATTCAATTTGGACATATTAAAGATATGCTAGTTTATGATGATTTTGTGTATTTTGGACAGCTTATACTAGGAGTGTACATAGTATTAGTGGCTTGAGGGTAAACACCAGATTGGTGAATGAAATTTTGGGCTTGATATTACAAAAAATTGAAACTTAGGATTTGTTATAAAAGCATGCGCCTAGATGCAAGAAAGGCTACTGATTTCATTGCCCCTTGTTTTTGTTGTGAATCTCAGGGACACCACTTCACGCAGCAGCTAAAGAAAGAAAGAAAGAAGCAGTGAAGTTCGTGATAGAGAATGGGGCATTTTTGCCAGATGACATCAACGATTGCAGATTTAATCCACCACTCCATTACTGCCCTGGCCTTGAATGGGCCTATGAGGAGATGAAGCGTCTTCAAAGAGATAGCTCTTCAGCAGGGGAGACATCTTATAGCTCTGAAAGTTGACGCCCCTGCTGTGTTTGGTGCTTTAAGAAGTGTTGGCCTACTAATAGCTGTTTTTGGATGTGTGTTTGCTATCCGGTTTGGTTTTAAAGACTGTCGTTTGCATATTTGATGGCATGTTGCCAACCAATAAACTAATACTCCCATGGCATTGCATCACGTGCATATGATATTGTATGATACATTGATGCTTTGAACGTGAAAGTTTTACTCCTGTAAGAACTTAAATACTATCATGTTTTCTTTCTTTTCTCTACGCTCTACTGTACCATAGGTTCTCTTTACGAGTATCAGTTCTAGGCAAATGATGCAGGCCCAATTTATTAATAAATTAGACGCTAAGTTTTGGGTTAATGAAAATGTCGTCGTTTTGTAATTAGGTAACAAGGTGGTTTTGGGTTAGGGTTTCAATCAATGATGACTGAATGAAATTGTTTTCTTCTTCTTTTCTCTGCGAAAGCTGCCTGCTCTTTTCTATAATATTTATGTTCGACTTATTGGTTCCTTAAATCTTTACCACCTTCTAGTTTGTTCTCTATCAATAGGTATCAGTTGGATCCAAGTCATTTGATTTTTCTCCTATTTTCTTCCTAAATTCTTAAACTTCCATTCTTATCCACTTGATCTCTTGAAATTTGCCTTCTTCTCTTTGATTCTTCTTCTGTTTTCCCTCTATTTCTTAGATTCTCGATTTAATCCATGTCGCGAGTTGAATGAGTTTTTTCTTAATTTTTCTTCTTCTTCCGTTCTGTCTCCTTTCTCTGAAATTTCATGTTAGTTCCTTCGATTCTCCCTTACTTTATGCTTGCATCGGCGCAACATGGGTAGGGGAGTATCTAGGGCCTAGGTAGGCCGTACGACATGGCCCATGCGGACCCAAAATCAGCAAAACTCGCTGCACCTTCATTCGGTTTCGAAGTCTTGTGTGAAAAATAATGGTAAAAAAGTAAACTTAATCAAATACTAAAAAGGTAAAAAAGAGTTTTTTTTTCAAAGTAAATAACATATAATAAACTCACTCTAAATATAAATTAAATTTTTAGGTATTAACTAAATGTATAAAATCGAAGTTCAGAGATGAAGCTGACATCAGCCGTTCCCTATAGGCCCAATTAGGCCGAATAGTTAAAATTAAAAGTCCAAAAGTTCGGCCACTTATTGGGATACTTATATAATCGAGTTGAGTCAAACGTGAGTCCGGTTAAATTTGATTCGACTAAAAATGTATAAATCTGAGTTTAAATATACTCAAAAATTTACGAACTTAAAATGGTGTATAAAATTACACTGACGGTATGAAATCACCAATTAATTCGAGAATAGAGGGGTAACAGTGTCACCCACTTTCTTCCTCCTTCACAATGTATTTTGGAATCTAATCGATCATTTCTTGATATCCATGGCTTGCACTACAGACTAAAAATAATCATTAATTGAATTTTTTGTTACTTGATTGAACTGATATGTCAGTGATTTTCCTATTTATTATTGTAACTATTGTTAGTATTAATAAAACTCAATCTTATCAGTATTCCTACTGCTACCGCTTTGACTTGCTACGCTACCGCTGTCGATTTAGAAGATAGTGAGATACCTAGCAAAGTGATATAATATCATAAAACCTTGAATCCCCCTTCTTTGACATCCTAGATTTCTCCTCTCTCTCTTTTTTTTTTATCCATATATGCATGGTAATCAGAAGATGTTGCTAGTATATCTCAGTTAACACTAACTGTATTTCTTACAGAGTGTGAGTTTGTAGACCAGAACCCCTAATGGGTAGGAAAGAGATCTGCAAGTATTTTTTTTCCCCACTTTCAAATTTATGTTTCAAGGTGCTTCGCTACTACTTTTTGTTATGTAGATGTTCTGGTGGGTGTCTGTTTCCGTTTTAGCTGTTTTATGGAATTAAAAGGGTTTAGCACTTAGTATGGCAGAAGATACAGGATGGGTGATTTCATGGTGATTGATTAGCAACAGAGTGGAATTGGAATGGATGGTTTCTGGTTTGTTGAAGTGGCATCAGTTTCTAGAAGCACATATAAAGGAAAATAATAGTTAACAAAACTAAGATTTTAGAAAATCCAATTTCTGCATTTTGAATAATTCATATTAAAATATGATATAAATCACCAAATGTTTCATCCAAACATACAATGAGAGAATTAAGGATAGAGCATCTTGTTCATTGAGTGACCTGTTAAACTTGTGTACATGCATTTACCAGTTCTGCCCATGGATTGATTGTTTTTAGAAAGAACGAGCTCCTTGACATAAAAATAGGAACTTTTTGTACATTACCACTATTTGGTTTCATTACTTTGTTTTTAAAATGTAAAAGGATATAAAGAAAACAAATCATGATATTTGAGGGTTTACCTCCTTTTATATGGCTTGAGCAGCAATGAGCTTGTAGTTTTTCCTATGCTTTTGTTATTATATTTTTGTTCATCAAATAGATATATCACGAGTAGGACTAAGAAGAGGGGCAACTGCTAGAAGAAAAGGAATAAGTAATTTTGTATTTTTCATCTGTCATATTTGTAGACCTTATTTATGCTGTCTTTCCGTGAATCTACATTGTTTCTTTGATGTGATCTGGCAGCGAATGTGGAAGATAATATGTTAAACTTGAATTTTGTTAATCAATTCCATGTTGATGGTTGTACATACATGTAAGTTTGAATTGCATTGCAAAACATGTGGCTGTAGGTCAAGTTCATCATACATTCAAATTCAGACTGCAGTGTAATAAATCAAGGGCACCAACTGCCTGGTTTTTGCATGGAGTCTTCATTTGCTGTTTTATGTATTGCATTATCACAAACACCATATACTTTGAACATCATTTTGCCAAAAAAAAAAAAAGGGATTTGAACATATCACTGTTTGTTGCATGATGATAAGTTGCCTTTTCCCCCCTCTTTATTCAAGTTATAGAACTCTCTCTCTCTCTCTCTCTCTCTCTCTCTCTATGTGCCTGCATTTTGAATGAAAGATTTGGTTAGTGTTGTTAGGGTGGCAAAGTCTCGAGGCAGTTCGAGTCCACATATTTCTCTCTGGCCTCCTTTCCTGTAATATGCTAAAATGAGTGTTCCTTCATGTTGTAGGTGCAATTAGCAAATGAAAAACAACTCGGTGATCATTATGGCTCCAAACATCCGAAGGAAAACCCTCCGACTGTGTCAAGTTGATTGATTTCCAACGCAAAAGAAAAAGGAAAAGAACAGATTAGCTTTTCCTCTATGATTCTAGATGTTAAATGTTAAACCAATGGAAATGACTTGTCTATTTGCCTTTGCCTCACTTTTTTGTCATCTCATGTGTTGAATTGCATGAACGATAATAAAGATGTTACCTTTCTGCCTGGATATTAAGATTTTATGAGTTCATAAGAGAACTTTGTAGAACAAATTGGATTCTAATAAAATGTTAAATTTCTTGGTGTTGGTCAGCAAATCATATGTTTTAGGGTAGAATAAAAATTAATTGACATCAAGTAAATAGCAGTATAAAAAAGTAACTTTAATTTGATAGAGTAGAATAAAAAAAATTACTTTAGAATGAATTATTGTTTTTCGTGAACGATATATATTTCTTGAAAAAGAGCTTTTTTTATATATAAAAAATAATTGTTTTAAAAGATATATAAAAGTTTAACATTAATCTATAGACTGTGATATGATAAAATTTGATCATAAAATTTTAAATGATTATCATATCTAAGTTAACCAATTAACGTCTAGCTTAAACTATCATTAACTTTTTAACGAAAAATTTGAAACATATGAATAGTTCAATGATTATTCTAAAACTGTCGAGGGACTCAACAAAATAATATCTTATAATCAAGCGACTAATTTATAACTTTTAATAGTTAAGAGACTTAATAAAATAATATCCTATAATTATGGGATTATTTGTGTATTTTACCGTAAATATTTTTATATAGTAATTATAATAAATTTAATATTTTTAATATAATCGGATTAATCAAATATATAGATATATAAATCTTACATAAGATCCGGGCGTGGACAAAATTTACTGTACCTGCTTAGAGTTTAGACTACAGGTTTTACTCGCTTCTAGAAAGAAGAAGCGTCGGTTTGGCACGTACGGATAGTCGTGGTCGCACGTGAGAAAACAGTATCACCTCAGCTCGCCAGCATCGAATCTACTTCTGTTCATCAGCTAAATCTCTCTCTATAGTCTCAAAACATAACCAAAATTAACAAGAACTAAAAGTAATCGTAATCGAAGAAGAAATAAAGTATTAGCACCGAGTTTCATCTCTCCATTTTTCATTTTGTATTTTTTTGGCTCCTTTTCTCTCCACGGCTCACACTGCCTGCAGATCGACTCAATCTCAAGGTTTCTTCTTTTTCCTCTTTTTTAATTCCGTTTTATTCTCCAAAGTTTATCTCCGTTGTGTTTAAGTTCATGATTGATTAGTGTTTGCTTTCTTGCTCGAATCTTTACTTTGTTTTTAGGTAAATTTCTTTTAGCATATGCTTGGAATGTAAATAGCCAATGTTGAGGGACAATTTCCTAGAATCCCATTTTCGTTATTACCATGTTTTATGCCTTGTTATTGTTTCCGGTTAATGTTTCAAAGTTTCTGTCACTTTATCAATGTAGCTCTTCTGTTCTTTCAGCTCTAAAAGATGCTATGATCAATCAGTAATACTTTGAGAGGCCGTTAGTTTATTTTCTAATTGTGAGTTTGGGTTGGAGAAGTTGGTTATTAGAGTTTCGAATTTAACATAAATGCCTCAAAAATGACGGCAGATTTGGGGAAGGACTTGCTTGTATAGATGCTGGTAGTCAGTCTCGTTCTATTTAGATAAAGAATGCTAATGCAGCAAAAGTTTTCATGATGTACATGTTGTTTATCAGAAGTATTCATTTTCCTTGAAAATGCTTTTAAGGTCTAATTATGCTACTTTATATATATATATATATATATATATTCTGTTTGGTTTTATGGTGTATGCTGGCTGGAAACGCTTTATTGTACAAGTGTAAGCAACTCTCATACACTAGCATTGTCCACAACTCCACATCATGGATAGCCAAACTGAAATGGTTCTCACGTTGGACATTTTTTCATGATTAGAATTATTTGATCTGTTACAAGACTTCAGTCCTCTATTTGTCCTTTGGTTATACACGAGGCTGCTTTGACGACCTGTGTTTTTAAATAATGTTTGTGTGTGTGTGTGTAGAGAGAGAGGCGATTCTTGCTTGGTTTTGAATTATGCATTTCTTTCTGCACAAATGGGAAGGAACTTGGTAGCTATTTGAATTGGATTGAGAACATTGATCCGCATTCTGCACATTATTTCTGTTTCAAATATCTTTATCATTTGTAATTCATATTTTGCTTCTCTTTCCTGCCAGACATCATTCGATTTTTGTAGCTGCCAAGTGGAGTTGTAGTCCGGGTAACCATATGTTATAACAAGGGCAGATTTTTGAGTTTGGCGTATCGGATGATTTGTAGTATCTATAATATGCTTTGTCAGTGCCAACATGGGCATTCGTCTTATGAAATGTCAATGGCCATGGCTGCTTCTCATTCTTTTCTCTTTTATCCTTGCAAACAAAGTCAGAGCTATCAGTCCTGATGGTATGTGATAATTTAAGCTGATATTTGGAAATTTCTTTTTACTCCCCCTATTCTCTCACCATCTGCGGAAGGATCTCAAATGCTATCTTTATGTTAATGCTCATTTGGTTGGAAAATATTGGTTAATTTGTCTCACTTAGGAAAAATTACATGCTGAATATCTCCACCTTTTAAAACTTTGGTGAGGGTGTTTACATTTTGCTTTCTTTATCCTTTCCTTTTCCTTTTCCTTTTTGACACCATCTTTTAGAGTTAATTCAGATATAACTGATTTTGGCTGGTTATAGTCTCTCTAGGTAGGCAGTGATTCTTGCTAGAAATAGGATTATCTGGTTATAGATTGTGAAAATGCTTTTCCTGTTATGCAGGAGAGGCACTTCTGAGCTTCCGGATAGCAATTACTAGTTCAGATGGCATGCTTTCTAAGTGGAGACCAGAGGATCCCGATCCATGCAAATGGAAAGGGGTGGAATGTGATAACAAAACCAAGAGAGTAACGACTTTGTGAGTTTTGAAGATCATGTCCAAATATAACATCCCTTAACTCAACTGTGTGCCTGAAAGTGCCATTTAACATGTTTCCTTTCTCTACGTTTTCTCTTCAGGAGCCTTACCAATCATAAATTGAGTGGTCCTATATCACCTGACCTTGGGAAACTGGAGCACTTGAGGCTTTTGTATGTGTTAATAGGACTTGCTTATGTATCTTTGTACTTGATGCATGATTGGTATTCAAATGTATTTATTGCAGCTGATATTTTCTCTGGTTTTTATGTGTATCAGAATGCTTCATAACAACAACTTTTATGGGGCAATTCCTTCAGAGCTGGGTAATTGCACAGAGCTGCGAGGAATGTAAGTATTGTTGATTCTCCTTACTTGAAAATTGTTGTTGGCTATTCTATAGATATTTCTTTAAATTGTAAGTACTGTTGATTCTCCTTACTTGAAAAGTGTTGTTGGCTATTCTATAAATATTTCTTTATTTAGCTTTGGTTCTGACGCCAAACAATAGTTTGACCTCTAAAATATTTGTTCTATTATTGGATTATGATTTATAGATGGATTGGAAGGGATTTAACTAGGATTTCTGTTCTTATATGTGATACATACATACATGCATATATATATATATATATGAGAGAGAGAGAGAGAAAGATATTTCCGTTGTATATAAATTGATAAAAACTGTACATGCATTGGTGGCATATAAATTGTAGAGCAGTAGACTTGTTTAATTTCATTAGTATCAACCTACAAAATGTCCTTTTTGACAGTTGGGAAAGGCCAAGGGGAAAAGTGAATCTTGGACCTTCCCTCAATTTGGATGGGTACAATCGGTATAAAGATTGAAAGGACCTTTTCCAAAATTTGATCCAACTTGGTCGTTCTTGAATTAAATCTATTTATCATTCATATAAAGAGCTGAAGCAAAAACTCAACCTTTCACTTGCTTTTGATTGCTTAATGCTGTTAATTTTGTGGTACTTTTTTTTGCATGATCGGAGTAGACATATTTCTTACTTTTTCTTGAAAGCCACCAATGTTCTACTGGTTTTGGTTATATTACTTGGATAAACTTGCTATCTTAGTTATTGTACATATTTTTAAGTAATGGCATGGTTGTGTTCACCTAGTGTGCATGTAAATATGAAGTACCATATGTTTTAAAGATTCTTTAGATTTTTTATTAAAGAATTTATTTTGGAATTACCTGTATTCTTTATTTTATTATACTCTAATCTATTCTCCTTTGCAGATACTTGCAGGGTAATTACTTAAGTGGATTAATTCCAAGTGAATTGGGAAACCTTTCTTCACTTCAGAATCTGTAAGTTGTTTGTCTTACTAATAAATGTGAGCCAGAGTGATAAAGAGACTAAGCATTTGGATTACTTAATGATGCTTACACTGAGCTTTGAATTTTCAGGGATATCTCAAGCAATTCTCTCAGTGGATATATCCCTCCCTCGATTGGAAAGCTACATAATCTCGTTACATTGTTAGTCCCCTTAAAATTTGTTAGTTTTTAAGTGTAGGCTTTCTACTGAGTTGGTACTTAAAGAATTTATCGAACAGAAACTCATCTTTGATGATTGTATTGAATTTCCGGCAGCAATGTGTCTAACAACTTTCTGGTCGGGCCTATACCATCGCATGGTGTCTTCAGCAACTTTATGGCTAGTTCAAAAGTACAAACTAATTTGGTATACCATGTTCAATAGATATTTGGTTATTTATATGCTAGAATAATCATGCCAGAGGGATGTTACTCTTGTACTCAATTCTTTATTTGGCACTTTTAATATCTTCATCTTCCTCTAGCTACTTCATCCTGAAAAGTTAAAGAAGATTGATGTACCATTATTATGCTAAATTAACAGTTTAACTCTTTTTTTGTAGTTTCATTGGAAATCGTGGTTTATGTGGAAAACAAATCAACGTGGCATGCAAAGATGACAGTGGTGGAGGAGGTTCAACATATTTTGGATCACCTACTTCAGGTAAGCTGCGTGTGCCAGAAATGTGTAAGTCTGATTGTTTGGTGCTCATCTCAGTGTTAATTATGAATGTAAAAAGATCAATTTGTCCACAATCTGAAATCTTGATAGATCTGTTACCTTTATTCTTGGATTTATTATATTTTTGGGAGGCAACTCAATCTGGTTTGTATTCAATCTTTTTTCTTTTGGGATAGCTCAAAATCAAGTTGGTAAAAGGAAAAACTCCGGAAAACTTCTTGTTAGTGCATCAGCAACTGTAGGTGCACTGCTTTTGGTGGCACTTATGTGTTATTGGGGTTGTTTCCTATACAAGAAGTTTGGTAAAAATGAGAGCAGAACTCTTGCAATGGATGTCAGTGGAGGTTTGCTTCCAACTTATCTTCAATTTTGGAAAATCTAGCTGTGTCCAATTTTCATCTTTACCCTTTAAGAGTCAATGTCTTTGTTAATGTGGTATTGTTGCTTCAGGGGCATCCATTGTTATGTTCCATGGAGACTTGCCACACTCTTCGAAAGATATCATTAAGAAATTGGAAACTTTGAGTGAGGAAGACATTATAGGTACTGGGGGGTTTGGGACAGTATACAAGCTTGCAATGGATGATGGCAATGTTTTTGCATTGAAACGAATTGTGAAGATGAATGAGGGATTTAATCGGTTTTTTGAAAGAGAACTTGAAATTCTTGGAAGCATAAAACACCGGTACCTTGTAAATTTGCGAGGATATTGTAATTCACCTACATCAAAGCTGTTACTCTATTATTACCTGGCTGGTGGCAATCTTGATGAAGCTCTCCATGGTGAGTCTCCCTTAACCTACTTTTATTCAAAGCAGTGGTCTGACTGGCATAAACTTGACATTCTTATTGATAATACATATACATCTACGTATATGTATACGTATTGCGTCTTAATTTGCTTAGGCAAGCAATTTGTTTGCACCTTGTGCCTCACTCATTGTGTATGTTAATGCCTATATTGCCTCTTGGGCTCTTGACAACATTGAGCTTGAACATAAATATTTCTTCTTTTTCACCACTAGTTAAGATTTCCTTTATGATCTCGGGTCCATTTCTATTCTATTAATTTGTTGAATGGATTAATTTCTTTATTTGGGAAGATAATGCTGTTTTATGATTCTTTTAACAGAACGATCTGAGCAGTTAGACTGGGAGGCACGTTTGAACATTATTATGGGAGCAGCAAAAGGACTGGCCTATTTACACCATGATTGTTCTCCAAGGATCATTCATCGTGACATAAAGTCGAGCAACATTCTACTCGATAGCAACTTGGAGGCTCGGGTATCAGATTTTGGACTTGCCAAGCTGTTAGAGGATGGAGAATCTCATATTACAACCATTGTTGCAGGAACTTTTGGTTATTTGGCTCCAGGTATGCAGTTACGATATTTCCTTCTTGTCTATGATTGTGGAGCCTGATGCTTTGAAAATGATTACTGTTAATATTTGGCAGAAGACAAGTGAGAATTGATCCCATAAAAAAAGTTATTTTTTCTGAGTTGCTTTTAATGGCTTATTTGGCACTTGACAACCGATGATTTTCATTAATATTTTATTTGGCCCCTACAGATTTTTGAAGTAAAAATTTAGCTGAACTTCTATGCAAACCTCTTTTTATTAAAATTTCATTGGACCAAAATGTGCTCTTAAAGTATTTAAAAATATATTTTTTTTCCATCAATTTTTTACCTTTTGTAGATATAAAAATAAAAAATGCTGCTAAACAAGTTTGATGCTCTATGACCTTGAAGTTCACATCCCATCTCACGTTGCTTAAACAGATTATGGCTTGTTTAAATTTGTGTCTTACTGTCTCAAGAAAATAAGAACTCCAGTCTTAGCTTTATAATCTAACCAAAGGAAAGGTTCCGGTCATGCAATTTTGGTCTAAGTATTTATTATTGTTTTCTGTAAAGCTGCAATTAGGTTCTTGTTATGTGGTCTAGACATTGTTATGTAACGCAAGTTTTCTAAATTCAATTTGTCTGAAATCTGTTTACGCTTCCCTCAACAGAGTATGTGGCAAGTGGGAGAGCAACTGAAAAGACAGATGTCTATAGTTTTGGGGTCTTGGTGCTTGAAGTCATAAGTGGAAAGAGACCTACTGATGCATCCTTCATTGAGAAGGGCCTGAACATCGTTGGTTGGGTATGTTTTCACTTGTTGACATTTTGTCAAATTGGCTTAGTCTCTTTTTCATTAATTTTCTGATTAAGCCTTTAAATCACATGCTTGAGAAGTCTTGCATTTGGCAGTATATAAATATACCCTATATATATATAATACTTGTGGGTGTAATTACCTGACTGGCATGTCCACTTTTTATGCAGTTAATTTCCTAATTACAGAGAATAGGGAACGAGAGATCGGGGATCCAAATTGTGAAGGGGTGCAGGCAGAAAGCCTTGATGCTTTACTCTCAGTAGCCATCCAGTGTGTTAGTTCAAACCCAGAGGACCGGCCCACCATGCACAGGGTGGTGCAGTTGGTTGAATCAGAGGTTATGACCCCATGCCCAAGTGATTTTATGATTCCAACTCTGATTGAATAGTCAAAGCCGAAAATGAGATTTGTGTGTATGGTTTCACGGTCTCCTATTGTCTTGAGCAAATTCCATTTGAAGCAGTAAACGAAGAGATGTTGAATGTGCAAGATCCTCACTCGTGTTCATTTTTTGACTAATTCTTTTGTGCAGATGAATGGAATGTATGGTGTATTCGCGCATTGCGCATATTACATTTGAACCTCAATTTGAGTAGTTGAATAGAATTTGAGAAATGGCATGGGTGAACATCCATTGCCTGCAATTTGCCATGTGCAAGTGCGATGAGATCTAACCTTCACCTTCTCTACCCTTTTGGTACGAGTCAGTTGGTCATTTAAGTGTTTTTTTTTTTTTGGTATTATCCCATTCCTTAGTCCTTAGCTTTCATTTCTCCCTCTCCCCCTACCACATGTTGAAGTGAATATGAGATGATGACGCGTGTAAATTGAGAATATTTTGCCTTTTTGGGTTTGTTTCATTTTTCTGTTGCCTGCATGTGCCTGTTCTACATTTTACACACGGGACGACTTCTTAATCTTCAACCGAAGATTGAGAAGCGAACAAAAATTGAAGACGGGTTTTATTGATGATTTCAACCAAGTCGTGGGTTTGGAGATTAGAACGTAATGTACAAATTTTCATTTAATTTTCAAAATGAGCAATTTCCCCCCCAAAGGCTTAAAGCACGTGCATAGGTTAGGAGGTGCATATCGAGCGAATCAATTGATCACAAGTTGAGTAGTGCTTAACCCGATTAAAAAATAATTCAACTCGTTTAACTCGACCTGCTGTTTGTTAAGTTTGATAAAATTTTATTCGACCAGTACTTGTTAAAAAAATTTGTTGTTCAATTCGATTCGTTACTCATTGAATTTGCTAGAATTTGTTTTATTATTTTAAAAATATATATATAATTTAGTATAAACATAAATTAACACTTTAACAAAAAAATGATAAAAATAATATATAAAATAATTTCAAAGTTCAAATTTCAAAATAATAGTGTACAAATATACAAAAGTTACGTATTACAACTATAGTAACAATGCATAGATTGAACATTGATCGAATTTTGATTGAATCAAATTCGAATTGCTCAACTCAATTAATATCTCTATATAAGGTTATTCTTCATTTACCCCTATATAGGGTTATTCTTCATTTCCATAAACGAATGCTTCGGAGCCTGATTTGTTTCCAGACCTCTCGCACTACAGAACCTTCTCATTCTATTTCATTACAAACTGGCTCAGCTTGAACAGCTTACTCCAAACCCTGCTATGACCTAGTTTCAATTCAATTCTACTTGCCAATAAGAACCTCATTTCATTGGCGTACACGGAAACATCATCCTATCAAAACGTTGCTAATTGTTTTCCAATTATTTATCCATAGACATGTCAAAAAGTAAAATGCATTTGTAGCCACCACATAATAGGAACAGAAAAGAGAGCCATTTGGATATGTTGTAGAAATTGAATTTTGCAAGTATTCAAGATTTACAAATTAATGGTCGATCTGCACCGTATGTATTGGTTTAAGTGACAATAACTACATGGCCACGCAGTGAATCTTATGTCAATTTTGGCTTCCTCAAAGTTCCAACTAATGAAGAGACATACTCTATAAAATTTGGGCCACATTTGGGCATGTTTTTAATGAGCCATTCATAATCCAATAACGTGGCATCAGATAATGGCTCCAGGAACTCACACCTTTCCAATATTTCAAGTGGTGGCGCTCCAGCAACTATGTTTGTGTCTAGTTTTGGCTTACCCTTGGTCAGCTCTTCAGGCAATTTCAGAGGTCCACTCACTAGGGCCGAGGGGGACGCACCGGCTGTTACCCCTTGCCTGAAAGGTAGACTATTTGCTGTCTGTAAACAGAACTCCACCCATTGATGGATTAGTGGAGATGGACCTCTCACGCGGCCCCCAATACGGTCTGTTTTAAGTCCCGAGGCAGCTGGAATTACCTGCAAATAGAGAAAGAGAATATGCTAGAATAAACTTTATACTTCATTGCTATTCAGTTCCCTCGTTTTAGTTCCAATATACTACCTGACACACCCACCTCTTAACATGACACAGGAAAAAAATCGATGCAAGACAATATGTTACCAGCAAAAGGCAGAAAATGCAATGGTTTAGATGTATACCCATAGATCAGCCCATAAGCTAGCTCCAGACTTGGGAACAATGACGGCTACGTTTGACATACGCTTTGCAACTGGAAGAACATCACTACTCCACCCAACAGCCACCCAAACATCTCCCACAGAAAATGCTCTGAGATAGTTCGCACTGTCAAAAAAATTTACCTACAAAACCCCCAAGGATATACTGCTATAATACAACAAAGAAGCAGCTAAAACCAAGTAAAGAGTAAAATGATCGCGGAGAGAAATCAAATATCCAGCTTAACATTTAAAATAATATTTTTAAGATAAAAAAAGAAAAAGGGACAACTATTGCACATCTAGTTCTCCAGAAAATAGCTCAAGCTCTAATCACTTGCATTGAATGAAAAGTGAATAACTTAGAGAATAGCAAGCCATTACATTTGCATCGAATATGTTATTCAGTCTACTTTCTCTACCATCTTCCACAAAATTCATGTGGTACAATATCTTGTCTATTTCACATTTCTGCACTTAAATAAACAATCCATTGAGTGTCACAGCTAAAATGACCCACGTTACTAAGGAAAATGATAAACTATCCACCAATTGATGAACTGGACAAGTGCCAGTTTGGAGAATGTGTCTATAAATTCATAAAAGAAGTCTTACAAATTCTGCTTCAGCCAATGTGGCATGGAAATCCAAGGGTGCAAGATCCAAGTCAACACATAGGGACCTCGAATTTGGATTTTGAGCATCAAACAGAGCCCTTTCTCTTAAGACTAATGATAAGTATCTTATAATAAGATCATATAATTCAGCAAATCAACACCCGTAATTTCTATCGGGTCAGTCCACAATAGACTTATCACTACAAGAATAAAGATGTAATGGCTACTAATCATGCTATACGAACTCGTACAAAGAATGGGGAGACATATCATTTATGCTGTGCTACCTGTTTTGCAAGTAATTCTAGATTCTGAAGAACAGCGTTCCTCCCTCCAGGAACTTGCAAGTCAATGTCCATTGTGTTGTATGATGCACCCATGTACTTCAAAACTGCACCAACGACCTCTCTAGGGGAATTCACCATTGAAATTCTTCCAGCAAGTTCGGGCCTCCACAAATCTGCCCAATCCTGCAATAGGGTTTCCCCCCCTAGATTGTCAGTATTAATGAGTGAAGATAAACGCTAGGTCATGTTAGATGATTTGTTCATGAGTTGAGTGAACCTGGAAAACATGTAAAAAAAGGATCGATGCAAGGGAAGACTGGGGCATTTCAGAAAACTGTAAAGCCCATGTTTTAGCAGTCCAAGGCTCCAAGCAGAAAAAATTGTAAAACATAGGAAAGGGAAATTGCAATTCAGAGATTCAAAGCCCATTCATTTCTGCAGTCATTTAACTGACAGCCACAAATAGAATATAGCAAAATTCTTTATGCACTAGATTTCAAAATGGAAATAAGTTCTGCAATTCTTTCCAAGAAAAAACTTAAAAAATAAACATCTAACTAATGCTACGATGAGAAAATAACCTCCAAGAAGATCTACCTAATGCCATTATCAGAAAGTGCTACACATATCAATGAAATAAAGAAGAAAATAGACATGCTATAAAGGTTTGTATGAAGAGTAAAGTGCCTACTGTTTCTCCACAAGCCAAACAAAACTAGATTAACCTTTATGCTACAATAAAAAAGGGCAGGTCTGAACATAGATGAAGGATTCTTCGGTGACTTAAATACCATTACAAATTTACAACCAAATTTGAGATCATATGGGAAAAAAGAGGAACCTATGGACAATTCTAGAAGAATAGATAACACATGCACATATTGGCTTGAAATTGAAATTATCACGAATCAATCCTATTAGACTTAAAGTCAGCACTGGTTTTATTTTGCGGATAGATTAAAATTACCTGTATAGGAGGCAACTTTTGCTTTTGAAATTTGGTTTTCTTGTATGCTATGACCATGGTACCCCATCGATAGGGTGCAGCCCATACCTGACCCTGTGGATCAATATCTCCATTGAGGTTCCTGCGTAGATAAACCTGGGACATTTCAAGAGTTGGGCAATGTTTTGGGATTTGTTTTGAATTGGATAAGAGCAAAATATGATGGGGTTTTACCTTCCATTTGTGACTTAAATCCTTAAACCAATCCAGGTGTTCAGCAGCAGTAATGGGTTCGATAACAGCTTTTCTGATAGCGAAAGAGAGCCAAGAGTCACCCAGGGTGACAATATCAGCAGCAGCCGTAGATGCAGGCCCAATATTCACTTTGCCTTTGGCTGGAGTAAAGGGCAGGCATAACTGAGCAAAAATATCTTCAAGAGATGGGCGGAATTTGGCCTGGAACTTTAAGCGCCTGGATTGAGAGGAGATGAAATCCTTGGACCAGGAGGGAGGCATGGAGCCCTGAAGAGCAACCATGGATAGAGAAACGGTGAGAGCAAAAGATTTGGATTTCCAAACCTCAAAAGCTGCGTCCGATTTCTCATCTTCTTCTTCTACAGCTGCTGACCTGCTATCCGCTGTTTGGCTCTCTGTAGAAGAAGCACGGTGAGTGAATTAATGAATTGACTCAAAAGGGGAGAGAGAAAGGTGGGTACCTTTTTCAAGGCGGCGGGGCAATGGCGTAAGAGCGGAAGCGGAGGAGCAAATGCAAAGACTCAGCCCCACAAACACAATTGTTGAGGTAGAAATGCTAACAAGCAACGGCTTTTTGCTGGATTCGTGGATACGGAGGCGAAGAGGAAAATTGATGGAGGAGCTCTTGTATCTGTCCGAGTTGGAATCGGCGAGGGGGGCATCGAAGCAAATACAAGAAGAGCACCTAAGGGATGCCGCTAATGCCATTCAGCCTCAGGGAACACTAATTGTTCTTCCTCCAAATCATTCTATAATCTACACCAAACCAACTTACTAGTGTAGCACTATTTTGTAATTATATAGGGTAAAACACACTGAACTATTTTAAGGGGGTAAAGTACACAAATGGTCCCTCAATTATTTTTTTGAATCCCTATATTATTAAAAATTATAAAATAATCCCTTAATTATAGGACTCAATCTTATTAAGTCCCTCGCTATTAAAAGTTAGAAAACGATCACTTGATTATTCATATGTTTCAAACTCGTAATTTTTCGTTAAAAATAAGGCCTTATGAGTTGAACTTAACTAGCTGATTGAGATATAATAAAATCATATATTTAATAATGTCCAGTGGCAACGTCGTTGCTTTCGAACAATGGCTCGACAACATAATATACAAGCATTGACTTAACGTAAACGAAGATTCGATCCACAAAATACAACTCAAACAATTCAATGATAAGATTTATCATATCCTAGTTAATAGATTAACGTTCAACTCATATAACCATCATTTTTTTAACAGAAAAATATGAGTTTGGAACATATGAATAGTTGGATCACCATTTTGTAACTTTTAATAGTCAGAAGACTCAACAAATAGTGTCTTATAATCGATATACTATTTTGTAACTTTTAATAGTCGAGTAAATCACCAAAGCAACATCCTATATTCGAGAGATCATTTGTGTAATTTTTCCTTATTTTAAATTATCAAATTAATATAAGGATAAACTACACATTTAATATCTAAACTATTACTATGTTTTGGTACCTAAACTTTATCTTTTTTTCAAAATCATACCTAACGTTTAGTTTAATAATTATTATTCAAGTAATAATAATCTTGAGTGTATTTTACTTTGTTATTTGAAGTTTTATTTTTTAAATCTTAATCAAGTAATTCATGAAAGCTTAGTTAGACGCTTAATCAAGTTTTATTTACATCAGAGTAATTATATTTAATAATATGAATATTTATAATTATATTTTAATATTTAATAATTTACTATTATATTTTATGTAAGCGTTTGTTTAATTTGTAATATATTAGTTTTAATTATATTTTTATTAAAATTATTTATTTTGATTAATTAAAACTGAAAGAATTTAAATATAATTCTATAATAAATCTGATAAAACTTAAAGCATATATCAACCACTTTTAGATATTATCATCTGGTTAATGAAAGTTTAAAGAATTTGATATAATTCTGTAATGAATAATAAAACTAAGGCATATATCAACACACTTTTAGATATTATTATCAATATAATAGTTGACAATTTAGATAATTTAATAGAAACAATTATTTTATTACACATATCAAATTCAAATTCAAATCAAAATAAGTTAGATTTTAAGAAAGTGATAATCAAATTTGAATCGAATCAATTTTACAATAAACAATATAAAATACGATCCAATCTGACCCAGAATATTTTATAATAACAACCATTACAGTCCTTGAAATATCGAAATCAATTATTACAAATATTTAATAAAAAATGATACGACACTGAACTCAATAATCAGTAATTCAAGCAATTAAATCAATTATGTTAAAAGATAATAATTAACGTACCTTAAACGTAGCTGGTTTCCAATCAACTAACATGAGTTCAATAATTCAAATCGATTAATAATTTTGTTTAAAATATTCTCTTTTTTTTGTACAAAGTATGCCTGATTCGTCAATGCGTGTACGAGATGTCAATTGAGTCCTTCACTTCTTTTTTTCTTACCAGAGGTAAACCGACAAAATGCTCCTGCATGCAATATACCTACGTCAGTTACAATCACAATACCGTCATTTACATTTTATGTATTACTATTTAGGGTCCTTGCATTTACATTATTCTCATTCATTCTATCATATTCCATCATTGTTTTGTAGAATAAGAGTGGTATTTTGCATCCTTATTGTTGTCTGAATTTGTTTAAATATAGAAGGGATAAAACAACATTTTAGCCCTGAACTTGATAATTTCTAACTTGGTCTCTACTTTTTTTTCATCCGTACTAATCCCTGAATTTAACATTTTTCTCAATTGGATCCTTAGATTCTAAAAAAATGTCAAATTCTAGGACAAATGTAGTTGAAAAAAAATCAAGTTGACAAGTTACTAATATAGAAAAATATCAAGTGCCAAATCCGTAAAAATTATGAAATCCAAGCATGCATTTTCTGGTGTGTTCCCAATGAGTGTGGATCATCATCACTCTGCTCGGCCTCCATGTTGGCGCAAACCACAGGTACTTTACAGATAAATGTGGATGATGCTTTTTTCTCTCATATTCCTGCGGGTATTGGGGTACGTGCTCGTGATGCTTCTGGGAGGGTGATCGCGGTACATGCGCTGCCCCATGCTAATGTTGTGTTGACCCAGTGTCAACCACAACCGGTTCTCCTGTTTACCTTTCTTATGATATCCCGGATTGTAGTGTGAATGTTGTCTTTAGACGCCATTTTCGGTTAATGATAATCTATGACCTAACTTTCAAAAGAAAAAAGATTAAATGTTATCATCACATGTCAAATTTCCATCCAATATTTTTTTTATCCATCATCAGTCAATACGAACTTGAGTAGAGGTCTAAAATATCTCTGAAAAATTCAAGCTAGAAAGTATGATAAAAGCACAATCGACTACAAATCAATTGAAAAACTCTGAAAAGAATACAACATAAGTGGAGGGCAAAAATTTACAGCCACTTGGCTTGTCCAAATTGACAGTGAAGGCCTGAAGGGATAGAAGATGGCAATTGGTGGCGTTTCTTTTCAAAACCAACCAATATCCACGTTTTGTCCGAACAACATTAAGAGAGAGTGAAGTTATTATACATATGCAAGGGCTGACCTGAGGTTTAGAGTGGGACTGAAATGTAAAATATATGTAGTTAAAAAATTTACACAAGGATCAATCCAAATCCAACCCAAAGATGCAAATCCATTTCTTAAAAAAAACAGAGTAAACGCGGAGACATAGTTTACATTAATATCATCAAATCACTGCTGCCAACCATACTGTTGATTGCGGTTTCCACCCATCATGTTAGAGCTACGTCCACACCAGAACTTCCATAGGGCCCACCTTGTGAGTAATTGGGAGCTCCAACTCCATAACCACTACCTCCACCACCCCTTGGACCAGCACCAGGCATACCACTTGAGCCGTATGGTGGCCCCCGTCCTTGTGGTGGATACGGCCCACTGCTATAGCCTCCCCCGCCACCCTGACCACCACGATTTGGGTGATTGTATCCCCCACTTGCTCCATTTGCAGGGTACCTCCCTGGCCCACCTGAAGGTCCAGGCTTCCCATAATGGTGGCTTGGCCCTGCAGCACCGGTGTTGAGAACCATGCAAGGGTGGGTTAGGTCCAGGCCTCATTTGTGCATGTGCTTGTCCAGACTGAATTGGCGGAAGCCGGGCATGCGGTTGTGGATGCTGTTGTTTCTGTCGCTTAGCATTTTCTTCATGCTGTCTCTGTTGCTGGCGCTTTTTCTTGGTTTGGAACTCATGTGATATTCATATTTAGGTAAGCTGAGCCAAAAGGAAACATAGATAATTGATCAAAATCAGAAAAATAATGAAGTTACCAAAGAGGGGGCATCCAAGCAAACCTCTTGGATCGCATGGTAATGGTCTGTCCAGAAATACTCGGCATCAAGTGCATCCTTGGCACATATTCTCTGCATTTTTCAAACAAAGAGAACATTAAAATGAGAAGTTGCTAACTTTGAAACAGCTAAGTACTTCAGCTTTCTTAATTGTAATTCCAAAGGTTAAAAATTTCTTAATGATAGTCAAATTGCTATTTTCACTGCTAAATAAAGTCATAATATCTATTCGGAAAAAAAAAAGCCAATAACACATAGAGAAAACTTAATAAATAAATTGGCTACACATTTAAAGGGGATACGAAGAGAAAATTCCAGTACAAATGAACCCCGAGATAAGTCAAGACCATCGGTCTTTGATTTAAAGTTAAGAAAAGAAATTCAGTGATTCTAAAGCATAAATGAATAGGCAGACAATTAATGAAGGTACCTGAGATATCAACATTCTTCTCCAAAATCCAACAACGGTCAAAACTATAGCAAATAGAGATAAGTCAGTGATGAGGGACAAACATAACCATAATCACATAGCATAATTCAATCTAGAACGAGTTTCAGGCACATGACACCCTGGGAGGGTAGGGGCCCACTGGTTCCCAGAACCAGCCTATTATGACCCTAAGGAATTGCTATATAACGATGAAAGTGAACTTACTGCCTAAACTTCCCGGAGACGTCTCTTCATCGGCCTTGTTGCTTGAAGTTGTTATACCAAGGAATCTTAGAAACCCCAGGCCAGTTGACTTCATCTGGTGCTCCACACAGCTCAAATATCTTATTTAAGTTCTGGCTGGCAATAGTCCAAGTAAGCATTTCATACCCACGTCGCAAGAAATTACAAGATTAAGGTCCGTTAAACAGGATACCATCCAATATGCAAATGAACATTCGTATATCAAACATGATTTGGTTCAGCAAAATGTGTGCAACACCAGGAGAAGTTTTCACCCAGAGTTTAAGATAAACATATAATGACCTTCAATGTCTAATGTTTCTATAAAATTCAATCATTTAATTCAACATAAAAACTAACCCCTCTCAAATATAGCCCATGCAGGAGTTCAGCAAAATGCAACCAACAGACCACATATCAACAACAGCTGGACCATACTTGTTGCCCCAAGAAGCAGCTCCGGAGGTCTGAGAAATTGACCAAAAATGGGAAGTACACACTGCATCAATTAATTTTTTATGCTTTTCTTTAAAGTTCAAATCCATTCGTTGGTTGTTAACATACACCAACCCAAGGAAAAACACATACCTGTACCATAAAGTAATGACACGATTCGTAAGGTTTGCATTGTGATCATTTGAGAATGAACGGGCAAGACCGAAATCAGCAAGCTTGAGGTTACCCTGTCTATAAGAAGATTTGAGCCTGCAATGAACAAGCAGAGCCTCACTTT